ATTGATTTATTGTTCATCGCGACAGGCCTAATTGAGAACGATGTTGCCACCACGGAGACTGACGTAAATGTAAGATGGTTCGCTTTGATTTTTGAGGAGCAGATTGTACTTGATGACCTCCCTGACCTTCCCACTGCAATGGCCCTCCTTTTTAGACTGATTTATGCTTTGAATATAAAGTATCCTGTGGAACTGAAGTATATGTTCGAAGCCATTCAGAAGGTTTTCATGCACCTTGATACCAATCTTTCTGCAAGGGTGCAGTCTTTCAGAAATAAATTACTGAGGTGCTGAGGTGGAGGAATATGAACATTGGTGATATGTGTATGTTGTGTGTGTCATGATGGAATGTCACGAAGCTGCAGTTATGATTGAGGTACACATACATATATGTTAGCATATGCAGCTTTTCTTTCATGGAGTGTGTTTTGTTTGTTTGTTTTTTTAAGGCTCCAGTTTAATAATCAAGATGGACAGTGTGTGTTCTTTTAGGTCATAGGCTGTTAGTGTCACAGTGTTCAAAGATAGATTTTCTGTTTAAAGGTTCTATTCATATGGCAGTCAGCCATGTTTGAGTAATCTAACAGCTCATATTCATGATTGTAATATGCATTCTTTTTTGGACCTGTACGATTTTGTTCCAGAGATTGATGATATTACTGGATTTTTTTTTTTTTTTAATCTTTTTTGAAGTTTTCTCAACTTCAATCACCATGCAGTTGTGCAAACCTGCTTTTCTTCTTTGGGTTATAATAGTTCACCCAACTTATTTCAATCTCAGCAAAATCACGCAGCAGAGCTGTGGTAGTAGAGCAGTGAGGCAAAAGATGCACGTAACAGGGTGTCATGCTGAGGAAAGTGGAAATCTGGGTTGCATTTATGGGTTCAAGAACACGCTGAAAGGCCTCAATATTAAACAGGAGTGGGGTGAGGCCCTCAGCTTTGAGATAGAATCCTGCCTCAATGGCAGATACAGATAACACACATTATTGGTTTGAGGTGGTGTTTAGTTAGCACCTCAAAAACAGGCAGATGACTATCCCATGAATACCAGGAAAGATAGTAGCCATACACTTTTGTAAACAGCTGGGTCAGAGCTAAGGCCAAATGGGACCCATGTATACTAAACTCAAGCATGCATCACAAAAGCAGTGAGGTTCTGGCTGTTTGGGTGGAGAGGAATCTACAGATAGTCCTGAAGATGGTCCAGTTTTATGAAGAACGTCAAGCCATGAAAGTGGGAAATGAGTTTTCCTATAGAAAGGAGGGGGTACTTATCAGGGATATTGGCCATGTTTACAGCTCGTCCAATGCATCTTTCAGGGCAGCTTTGGATTGGGCCGTTCAGTGAGCGGCTGCCCTCCTTACCAGAGCTGTGTTTGGATTTTGGTAATAATAAAGTGGAGGTGTGGTCAGATCTTCCAAACAGTGGGAGAGACACTGCTTTGTAGCTGTCCTTGAACTGCAAGCAGCAGTGGTTGAGTGTTCTTTCTCCTCTTGTTGGACAGTCAATGTGCTGGTACAGTATACTGTATGTCTAGCATTACTCTCTTAAATTATCCTAAGTAAAGTCCCCAGCCATGATGAGTGCAGAATCCAAGTTGCTGGTTTGGTGTCGACTTGAGCACTTTGTACAGTTTAGGTTCTGTGTTGTCTGTATTCGCATGTGGTGGAATATAAACAGCCGGTGAAGCTGACCAAGTTGAACTCCTGAGTCAGACAGAACGGTTGCCATTTAACTCTTAGCTGCTCCAGGTCAGGCAAAGAGGAGTGAGAAAGGGCCATAACATTCTTGCTGTCACTCTAGTTGTTATTCATCATTATACACAAACCTCCTCTTTAAGGGCCCATCCACACTAATATGTTTTCATTTAGTGACGCAAAAATTCACTTCCTAATTAACCTCCAGGTCGCACTACCATGGACCCTTTTTTCCCCAGAAAGAGAGAGAAAATTCACTGCTCTTCGACAACCAATCTTTCTGTAAAGGTATTAGTGTGGACGTTCATAAAAGTAAACATTTTGTTATACCTACATCAGTGAGCTCCAATTGGTTCATACTTAGCTCGTGAACCTTTCCTGATTAGCTTTTCGTTTCAATCTCTTTTCCTAATTGGTTACTCTTCACAGGAATGAAGGATGCTTTGCCTTTGTTTTCACAAAAGCAAGCCACATGTACATCCTCCTTATTAACAGGACTTACAATTAAGCAAAACAACATTTGCCAGGCAGTGAGTGTAGCTAAATAGTGTTTTTTTGTACATTGTATCCCGTGTACACCTATTGTGAAGCTCAAAATGAGACTGTACTTGAGCCAAGTTTAAGTGCATCCAGTCATCGAACATGAGAGTGTACTGAAACAGAGGGAGAGAATGAGACATGTAGTAACTAAATTTCTGGATCCCAGTGTTGTTGCTGTAATGGTTCCTTTTATGTACAGCTTTGTTTTTGCGTCGCTAACAGTACTGTGATATTTCGCTTTTGCTAAATAAAATATATGCATTTACTTTAAAACACATGGTTGTGCGTGAGATTAACAGTCAATCGTTTATAAAAATGGAACTTTATTACTAATCAAAGTCATAATAAATTATTCAATATATATACTTCACTTCTAGAATTATAAAAAAAAATTTGGTTGCAAATGACACATTGTGCTTGAGCTACAACAAACAAAGTGCATCACTTCTAAAAATATATTATAAAAAGCTTTGGTTAAATGTGCAAATGAAAAATGTCAGAAATATATACATTAGCAACCACTCATAGCTACGTCATTTGCTTTTTACATGGAGCAGTGTGAACGTGTATGTTTTTTCAACACTAGTGATAACGGTAGTGCGGATACAGATATTTTCTTTCGGAAACTCCCATAATTTTTTTCTTTTATTTTTTTCTTTAACATATTAGTGCAGATGTAGCCTTAGATTTGCCAGACTCATCCGTTCTGTCTTTACAGAAACAGAGTGACTCAGAAGACAATCAAATGTCTGAAAATATAGTAATTTTTTGCTATCACTATGCAGCACTGCTCAAATTTTAGGGAGATCTGTCTCAAAACTAGAACATTTCTAGTTTGACACCCTTACAACATGCATAAAAAGTTTGAACAATAACCCATTTAAATACTGCTGGAGTTACTGTGTTCACAAACCAATTGCCTTCTACAGCTGCCATTTCCTTGCTTTAATGCCACACAGCGTCGCTGCTTCGTTTTTGGGGTGATCTGTCTCAAAATTTAATCAGTTCCAGGTCAGCTCCCACACAATGATTCTGCAAAGTTTTAGTAAGATCTATCAAAGGTTTCCGAGTTATCATCTTAACAAGCAAAGGGTGTGTGGCGGTGCAGACTGGTCCCACAAGCACATGTATACCCCAAAGTCTGGGGAGTACAATTAGGCCTAATGATATCACTAAAATAAGCAGAAGGTTATAGGTTGAAAACCCAGGTAGCTGCTATACCTGAGGGAGGCTAAAATCCTGTGTTTTTACTGTGCTTATAAAAATTGTCCCAAACATGATCCAATAATATAACCATGACATTAGAGACTGTTATATAGTTAATTGCAGACAGACAAACTTACATGAAATGCACAGGCCTACGTTTCAGCTGTTAGCATGAACCAAATAAGAGCTAACAGACGGAAACTGACACAGCGCAGAGGCGAAGAATTAAGGCAGCTTCAGCCACTGCCGTCCACTCAGCATGACATCCAAGATATTCCAGGAAAACGACACCCCCAATGAGCGTGTTCCCGTAACAGAGCGGACAGGGCTTTGCGAGAGCCAGTTGTAGAACTGTAAGGATTCCTGAACCCTCCAAGGAGCACCACCACACACGCACACACACACAAACACAAAGTGACTGGCTCCCCTTCCTCCTCCCTACAGTCCCCACAACCCCCACTTAAGAAACTATTGATTTCAGCTTGTCACCGTTCACAGTAACGTCCAGTGTTTTCCTTGGGTGAAAGCTCTATTTTGACATATGGTGCAGACTCGTGTGTGTAGTGGGAGGTCCAATACTTTGCCAAGATATGTGGCATGAAGCTAAACTGGAATAAAGTCAGAGTGCAGAGGTGTGTATATAAACATGCACGCGCATGTGCACACACACACACTTGTGATTACCATCTGCCCTGTAAACCTTGCATCCTCACTTCTCTTCTGTTCACTGACGTTTTCAAGCATGATGCTATTGAACAGGACATGGCTCTGACACCAGAACAGCTGCATATAGTCTTAAGTTTTCACTAATGCACTCAGCTTGCGCGCATCACTTGGACCTGAAACATCTCCAGTAACTGTACTGAATGCACTATGTAAGTCTCCAGCTAATGTTTGATAAAAGTGTGAATTTATACAGGTGACGATGAAGCCAGGGCAAGGTACATCAGCTTAATATGAAGCACTGAAACAAACATGACATATTTTTCAGTATTCCCCTAGTATTTCCCTTTTAGAACATCACAAGATGATAACAAAATCATTGCTGCCACTGCTTCAGGATTTTATTAGATGTAATGAAGTCATAATGACACAACGCTGCAGAGAGCTTTCAGTTTAAAATAAAGGATGCCGGAAGTGCAGACACGTGACAACATCCTGCTAATTTTTTATTATTTTGTGAAATAATGGTCCAGCTAACCAAACCAAATAGCAATTGCCAATGATGTTCATACAAGCTATGTATTAAAGAATACAAATGAGTTTGTTAAAATACTTCCCCAAGAAGAGAAAGATGCCTGAATTTGATGGGGAAGAAAGGTAACATTACTTTAGCTACAGAGGGGCAGAGACACTGATACAGAACTAGAGGCAAAAGTAATGGTGAGATTTTACAGCACTGATTGGTGAATTCAGGAAAACTGACCAAAAGTAGTCTTACATCTGTGGTGGTTAAGTTACTATCCAATAGCAATACCAAATCGATGTCAGTTGTGACCGACCAATAGCAATACTGCTTCTCTATAGGTAGAGTGTTTTCCAGAGAAACTCACCTGAGACTGCTGGAACAGGATGACACGAGAGGGGTCGATCCCACAGGCCAGTAGGCTGGCGGTGACATCCAAGATGTTTTTGCGCAGTTGGGCAGGATCCTGGGGCACAGTGATGGAGTGCAGATCCACAATGCTGTAGAGGATGGAGCTGTAGTTTTCTTGAAGGCCCACCCAGCTCTCCAGGGCACCCAGGTAGTTCCCCAGATGAGGTACTCCCGTGGGCTGGATCCCTGAGAACACTCGCACTGCTGGGATGGAGCTATGCTGCAGAGAAGGTGGAGGAGAAGGAACTCAGGAATTCTGCTGTAGTTGTAACACCTGTGCTACTCTTTTTTTCCTGTCTTGGAACACCACAGGGTCTGCATGGATGCTAGACCTATTAGCATATTTGTAACACCACAGGCAGCAGCGTAAGATTTGCCAACTCACACACAAAAACAGAAAGAGTTAGTTTCTGCTAAGCCATCTTCACCTAGGCACGGACATCCAGTGCTAATACACGCGAAAGACTACAATTTACTCCAAAGCAAAGCATGCTGCTTGTTAATGGTTCACATGTGTCAAGTGTGCCCCCTGGGCCTCCCTGCACCAAAGAGAAAATGGCAACACTGTGAAGACATAATGCCTAATTGAGCAGAAAACTGGATGGGATACTGTTTACTTTGACAGTTTTCGAAAGTACAGACCCACAGCCTTGCTTTGCCCAGGGGAACATCCCATCCAGTTGTGTTTCCCATCATGAACCCTCCTTGTGCAGACAAACACACAAAAGAAATTGTGTTTATGATTTAGTGTCATAAATCTAGGTGCCGTCTGCTACAGACCGAAAAAGTCAAGGACAGCCATTATCAGCATACATTAGAGTCTAAACTATAGACGTCGGCTTCTGACAGGAGACGACACACAGACCCTCTTTCCTGCTGGGTCATGGGCAGCTCTGTGTATGTCTCTGCCATAAGCAAAGAGACATGATATGGCAGCATGCAGCACAAACAGGCACAATAATCCCCCTCTCTCTTATTCAAACAGTCACAGAGAGAAAGAACAATAAATGTATACCACAGCTCCCAATATATCAAAACCCAAAGTCTTGGTCTGCTAATTTTAGTCTTACCCCTTTGATGAAAATGCAACTTAGTTTCAGTCATATTTTAGTAATCTGTTTTTCTTTTGTTTTAGTTTAGTTTTAGTCAATGAGAATGACGGGATATTTAAACGACTACATGCAGTCAAATAAAACTAACAGGTTTAGTCGTAGTCTAACACATGCATGTACACATTACACATTAGTCTCTCTTTGCTCTAGATTCCTAAAGGAAGCATCTGTAAAGCTGTTGTTATAGCATGCCATTAGGTTTGAACATACAGTCTTTAAGGACAGATGTAAGTATTGTAATACAAAAAACAGCAATTCTTTACAATTCTAAAATGACTTGATCATTAAATAAAATATGAATAAATTTAGACTCAAAATATTTGGATATTAACATCTTATTACACATACCATATTATTAAAAACAAAAAAAAAAACTCAATTGCCAATCAAGTATCGAGTGTTAGACTGTCATACAGCAAGGGGCGAAGGACACGGGAGCAGGAGATGGGGCAAACAAACTGGGTTTTATTAAACAAATACTAAATTAATACTTCATACTAATAGTAAACTAATAGACCAAAACAGAAAGGAACCAGATCATGGCAGGGTTGCCCACTGTGGTCAGCTATGTGATTTTCAATTCACGACAAGTCTGCAAAAGCATTTGCATGTGTTTAACAGTTTTATTACCTTGCAAATAGTCTGTAGGGTTTGCAAACTACCCCAACACTTTTAATGTAGCTAATTTTAGGTTTATCCGGGACTGGGAAGCACTTTTATACAAGGAATAATAAGGGAGCAAAACAAAAGGCAGCTGGAGTGAATCACACAGGGGCAGGAACGAGATTCGTCTTAGTTTTCGTCATTAACGGCACCTTTTTATTTAGTTTTTGTTCTGTTCTTGTCACAGAAAAAAATGTTCATAATGAGTGTTTTTCATCTTAGTTTTCAATCAACAATATTAAAACTGCTGCTGGGGAACTTTAACGCTTACGTGGATAGCGACATCGGAAGGGTGTGATTGGAGGAATGGCCTGCCTGATCTGAACCTGAACAGTAAACAGTTATTGGACTTCTGTGCTAACCAGTTTGTCCATAACGAACACCAGGTTAGTAAATGAGGTTTTTCATAAGTGCACCTTAGGCCGCAGCAAGTGTTTAGTTTCACCCTTAGTTAGTTCTTGTGTTGTCTACCTACCTTTGTTTAGACCAAGGTTTCTCAACCCAGTCCTCGGGGACCACCAGACGGTCCACGTTTTTGCTCTCTCCCAATTGGCAGGGAATTGGGAGAGAGCAAAAACATGGACCGTCTGGTGGTCCCCGAGGACCGGGTTGAGAAACCCTGGTTTAGACCCCTAGTGGTCTCCTTTTGTTTCCAAGTGTTTTGAGTAACATTTGCACCACAACACTGATCATCCAGTGCAATCATCTCCACATTTTAGTAGCTATATCTTTAGCACTGGCACTGCTAACTTTATATATTGAATACCAAAATATCAGCCTGCAAGATCAGCTAAGATACACATCAGACCAATACCGATATCTTGATTTTAACAAATATCAGATGACACTAAAGTATGTCAACCTATACATCACACATCTCTAAGATTGACATAACTTTTTACTGAGTTAGCTAGTTAGCTACCTTAGAGTCTTTGCCACTGCTTGATCATAGCTAGAAAAATGCACAAAAAATGAGTGGTATTTCCCAAAAGCATCACAGCACAATATCCAACATCGTATGGGTACAGGGTTGCGGGGGAGGGTGGAGGGGGGGCATGCTGGGAACTATCCCAAGAAGAATGGATGGAATGGAATGCCAGGCCACCACAGGGTGCACACATGCATACACTGACAGAAATTCAAAGATGCCAGTTTTGCTAGATGCATGTTTTTAAACTTGGAGGAGGAAGCCTGTGTAACACAGAGAGAACATAAAAGCTCCACACACAGAAATAAAAGTCCAGCCACTGTAGGTATGATGCAAGAGCTTCATCTACTGAGTCACTGTGCAGTTTAACAAAAGTGCAGAGTAGGGCTGCACGATATATCATTTCAGCATCATCATTGCGATGTAAGCACTTGCAATAGTCACATCGCAGGATGTGCGATGTTAAGTAACGCAGAAATTAAATTAAGCGGCGTGGACAACGCTTTTGGTGTTGAACTAACAAAATGTCACACTGTTCCTATTCTTAAACAATGCACAAAAGTCTGTCTAATATAATTTAGATCAATTTAAAGGTTTTTCGATACGGAGCTGACACGCAGCTTTGCACGGGCAGCTAACAAACATGTCGATCACAGAACGAACCACCAAGCACAAACATTTTTTTTTTTTTTTTACAAATGCAACAAAACATATAATAAGGCAAAGATCCAGGGGTTCAAGGGTAGCCAAACAGTATACAGCAATAAATAAATCACAAAACTAACAAACTTTCCTCACAACATAAATAATCAAATACAAATTATAGAAAAACATCAAAACGTGAGCATACATTTAAGGTTTTAATTGCCTTTTTGTTATAGGAGGTAGACAAAGATTTAATATACCAAGCACAAACATTCTAACCATTTAACCCAGCATTATTTTGTCACTCATGTTAACTCTCATATGCAATAAGCTTCCATAGTTTAATGCTCATGCTCTGTTTAGTACTGATTAAGTTATCATTACCATTATATTTGGGCTAAATCAGGTCAATCTTTCTAGAATGATTAATTATTAGGGGTGTAACGATTCATTCATTTTCTCGATGCATCGATTACAAATCCTGCCGATGCATATGCATCGATCTTGAAACATGGATTTTTGAATCGTGAATCGTTTGTTTCAGTCAATAATCGATTTAATATTTTAAAATCGAATGAATCGCGATTATATAACGAATATACGATGGATAATTAAAAAAAATAAATATAAATCTTAAATTAGCTGCGTCTGCGACGTAAAGTGCGCCCTCACTGCAGTGGCGCAGTGGATTACGTCGCTAATCTTCAATTCGCGCCTGTTTGTTGTCATCTGAATAAACACAGCAGTGCACAATGGAGGGCAACGAAGAAGGAGAAATTTGCAAGGCGCCAGCCAACATGAGATCAAAGGTTTGGGATTACTTCGGTTTTCACAAAGTAAATGGAAAGATTGACAAGTCCGTTGCAGTTTGCAGACATTGTACATCTGAGTTAAAATACTTTGGAAATACAACGAACAGATGAATATTTCGCAATTTTTCAGAGAGCACGTCACAATATAAACTATACTAAAATTTACAGAATAGAATCGTTAATAATCGAATCGAATCAAATTTCATTGTTAATCGAATTGAATCGTTCTGATTTGCAAAAATCGTTTTTGAATCGAATCAAAAACCTCTGAATCGTGAATCGAATCGATTCGCTGTCTACCCAAAGATTCACAGCCCTATTAATTATATCAATACAGCAGCGGTCACTAACAGGTGGACTGCGCCGGACCCGGACCCAGAAGCTGTCCCATATGGACCTGGGGTGAGTTTCCCGAAGCGTTCTTAACGCTACGTCGTTCTTAAGTTCTGTGTTAAAAGATAGAACTAACGAACAACGTAGCGTTAAGAAGGCTTCGGGAAACTCACCCCTGGACCGATAGCCTTTTGTCTGCGCTAATGTGCCATTAGTGTTAATAACAGCAGCAAAGCGACCAAAAAGCCGTAACGTTCCTAACAGAGTGGCTGCTTAATAACAGCAGCGAAGCGAAGACACGCAACCAAAAATCCGTAATGCTCCTAAGAGAGTGGCTGGTCTGTCCTGAAATCATATAGCTGAAAAGTTTTCAAATACAGTATGTATTATATAACATGTTGGATAAATATACATAGTTTACTGGTGATTTCATGTTCGTGGAAGTTTCCGCTTTTTAACATATGTATAAAGTAATATTATCTGTTATATATAGATCAACTTAGGTGAAACAAAAATTGTACGTTTTCAGCATCTGGCACGCCACTCGTGATTTCCGACTTGCGCAGGAATTCTTACGGCAAATCTATTTTATTCCATTATAAACCTAAAATGAGCTACGTCAAAAGTGTGTTTACATGGTTAAATACAAAAGCATACTATTTACAAGGTAAGAACATGTGTGTGCAGACATCTCGAATTGAATTGCACTGAATTAATTTGATTTGACAGTCAGGTACTGATTACATGCAATGTTGATACAACTGATATGCTACTTAAATATACATCACACTAAATAGTTAGACATTATGATCTTCCGGACCTTTGCTTCAAGAAATTTTCTCTAACTGGACCTCTTTAAATTTTAGTTGAATACCCCTGCAATAGAGCTATTGAACTAATTAGAATTTTTAAAATCTCAATATCGCAATATATATCGCAGAAAGAATAAATATTGCAATGTGATTTATTCCCAATATCGTGCAGCCCTAGTGCAGAGCAAAGGGACCAGTTTCAGAGCCTGTGTTAGAACATATGAAGCCCTGTAGCACAGCAGAGCCGAACATGAAGAACTTCATCAAAATTGCACTGGGGGAACAGAAAACAGCTAAGTGCACTGGGTGGGGCTGCGAGACACCCTGCAGCGCAGACTGGGGCCCAAGGAACTTCATACGTGAGGTTCTGGGAACTTTCAGTTCTGCTGAACTGTTATTAAACTAAAAATAATAATAATAATAATAATAATAAATATAAAATACAGATTGGCTGTGGTAATGCAGTTCTATAAATCTAATTGTATCCTGTTAGGGATCAAGGCTAATCTAAGCAAAAATCAAAGTTGGCTACAGAGATACAGAGCCTGTGGGCTGTTTCTGTCCCAGTGCGAAATGGAATAATTCATTTGCAATGAAGGTGACACATGGGGATTACAGGCCATTCTGGGGTCATGTTCCAGCTAGCAACCCATCTGTAGCTGAAGCGATTTGGCTGACATTCTGTAAACAGGGGAGGCCACAGGATGAATCACAGGGTTTAGTTTTGTTACCTGCCCTTGAAGTTGTGCATACTGCACCTACAGGCAAGGCAGTTAGACCATGATGCCTGAACAAGCACACAGCTAGCAAAACACTGCTGCTTATGACACTCAGGGGTGTAGGCACTAGAGGTCAACCGATATATCGGCCGGCCGATATATCAAGGCGATATTTGGCATCTTTTAACGTATCGGCATCGGCCGATATCCGAGTGCACTACGCCGATTTACAGACAGGCACGTCTGCGGGCAGCCCAGTGTTATTGTTGCTGTGGAATACCTGACCCATGCTGCCTTGTGCAGGACCCCAGGCAGAAGTTTTGGAAGAGTCCTGGGAGAAAACGGTAAGGCTTAAATTCTGATCTTTCAAAGACCTATTTATTTAACTGGTTTGCTATGAAATGTTGCTTTAAAAGGAAACGCGAATTACGCTGTCGGGAACTGGCGTAATGATAATGAGCCTTCAACCAACTGTAGCTTACAGGTAACGTTAAGGATCATTGATTCTGACAGAGTTAGTTTTGTGTACTTGATGGGCTCAGACGTTTTTTTAATCATTAAAAATCATTTTAACTGTTAACATTTTAATTATTACCATATCAGCCTGATGTTATCAGTTCTGTTTTTTTGTTTCTTGTGTCGGAGTGTTTCACTCTGTGTGTGGGGCGGAGCAGGCAGCTCTTAAACACTGCAGCGTGTGTGAGTGTTGCGTTACTCTGCCCCGATTTTACACCGACAGACAGCACCTTCCTCAGAGACACAGAGCTGCTAAGAACAATGCATGGCGGAGAAAACTGTTTTTTCGCGTGGTTATCATTCACTTGAGCTGATAATGGTCCTTCTGTGCCACTTGTTTGCATTTGAGAGCAGAGAGTCAAAGAATTTGTCAGACGTCTAGATAAAAAGTGCACGACTTTGCGCAGTTAGTTTCCTCATTAAACATTTCTATCCTTTATATGGGCTTATTTTCTGCGATCGCTAGATTCTGATTGTGAATTTGGCTTGTAAGCTGTCTGCGAACAACATGTTAGTGAAAGGTTTTGGGCCTTGTACACTATTCATCATACCATGATGCACTTAGTTGAGTGTTTTTTTTTCTTTCAAAATGTATTAGAGTGTAATTGTTCTAATGTGCATGAAATACTGGAACTGTAGAATGAATTGAAGATGAAGGCACTATAATAAAAATGCTAACCTTGCATTTTTTCTTCGGTTTTAGTAATTTCCTTCTGATGGCTGAACAAAAATCTAATCCTGTATGGCAGCATTTCACCAAGCCAACACCAGAAAAAGCCAGGTGCAATATCTGCAGCCGGCTGGTGAGCTTGGGAACTGAAGAAGGAGTTTGCTGCTATATTGTGCACTAAAAGAGATTCTGATGCTGGTATTTTTATTGTTTATAAGTTTAAGTTATTGTTTACGAGTTGCATTGTGTTTTCGTTATTTAAAGTTTAAATTTACACAAGTCAGTATTCAATAAATGCTAAGTTGAGAAATTTTGTGTATCGTTATTATTAGTGTGATATTTTATCATGCAAATAGTGGGGAAAACATCCAATTTTCGGCCAAAAAATATATCGACCATCGGCTGACCCTGACTCCTAATATCAGCAATGGCATTAGCTACTGAAAAACCCATATCGGTCGACCTCCAGTAATCACCATGTAACACCTCTCGGACTGCACAGCGAAAAGGGTGCCCAGGAGGAGAACCTCCAGAATGTTCTTAAGCACTTGATCATTAGAAATAGGAGAAACCAGAAGAAATGTTCTCCACTTTATGAGGGCCAACCATTAATAAAAAAAAAAAAAACATTAATTGGACCAGTGTCGTTTATTCAACTAGACTGCTGGGTCTCCAAGCCCATGTCCATACTGGGGGGTGGGGGCAGGTCCATGGAGCAGCTGGCCAAAACATACACAAAATACATGCATGACTCTGGGTGAATGTAAAACAGGTTGCAGGGCCCTGGCCAGCACAGGAAGGCTCCTGGCTGATCTGGGTTTTTATTGTACGTCTGACAGGAACAGGAAGACATGGTGCCTGCCATCTAACACCAGAATGAATTGTACCAGAACGGCTATGTTGATCATCTGGCTCCTGCTATATTATGTTAGTCTAACAAAACACAGCAGTAGCCATGAGAGGCTGCACTAACATGGGCGCTATGCTAATGTCAGCCCGCTGCAGCAGCTTGGCTACTTTCTTTTAATACTCTAACTTTTCTCTGCACACTACTTTACCACAGGCAATGTGATTATATGAAAAGGCAATAAAGCAAAAAGTTGTTTTTCTCATATGGGCAACACTCTGAGCCCAACGGTGGTGCTGTCTGTATGGCCAGCTTTCAAATACCTTCAGGTGTATATTATATATAAAACAGTTTGTGTGTCCCGACCTCTGTATTTTCAATTCACATTGATTTGCGCTGAGAATTTACAGACATTTCGGAGCTTGCCTTTGCACTTGTTTCAGCAATATGCATTGAGTAACTGAGTATGACATCATTCTCAGCCAGTGACCTGCTTCTTCAGCAGGGATGACGCCATAGATTTTCTTTTTTTGGTGCTATGGGGTTGCTTGACTTTTCAATGAGGGAGCTTGGAAATTTATGGTTTCTCCTTAATATGCTGGTTGTCACGGTTTAACTTCTACTGCGACACCCCAGAAATGCCTACAGAAACACACACGCACATATGCAGCACCCGCTCTATGAGTTACATTCAAAATAAAAAATCTAAACAAACCACAAAAATCTCCTGGGGGTGCTATGGCTGTCATATGGGTAGCTACAGCATGCCCAAACCCCTCCCTGGCACTGCCCCTGTTCTCCAGATCTGAATCCAAAACCCCGCAACGGAGAAGTCCTTATTCTATGAAGGAATGAAACAAGGAACAGAGTTAACAAGGATACAGGACATGTGCAGGCCATTTAGCTGAAAACAGCAGGTCCTGTGAAGGTGGATTCTTCAGAACCACCTAAACCTCACAGGGACATCAGGAACTTGTGGACCTTCGCAGTGCTGAGGCAACAGAAAGCGGGCAGCATGGAGTCTTTCTAGTGAGGACTCAGAGGAACAAAGACCTACTCTACTCCTGCCATTAGCTCAGTGCAAGAGGGCCACAAATCACCCAGCAGCAGAGCTGCCTCCTACTTCACAGCTACTCAATGGGACAGGAACCCCTGACCGACTGGCGCACGCGGGTCAAAATGCAAGCATCCCCGCCGAGCCGAGCTCCAGCGCTGGCCATGCCAAGTGCAACACTCATCAGTGGCCTCCTTCACCCCTGAAAGATCCAGGCATGGAGGGGGGGGGTACCGCTTCGGCCTGTTGAAGGCTGTTTGCTGGCTCACCTTTAAGGCACCAGCCCAAGGCCAATTACACAGACACCACAATAAAAAGCAAGCAGCCCTAAAGGAGCCCCATCCCCGCGCTCCCCGCGCCCCTCAGAGGGCCGCCTCAGTCAGCCGTCAGACAGGAAATTACTTTTAATGCCGCCCTGAGCCAACCCCCTCTGCTGTGACGCTGTGGGTATAAGTGCAGCACACACACGTGCGCTTGGTCTACATTAAAGCACACAGCGTGAAACTCAAAATGTAAGGAGGATTAGAGAATTTAAAGAGAAAGAGAGAGAGAGAATGAGCATAAAGTGTAAATGAGTATGGGAGCTGAGGTCAGGGGGATGGGGGGGCGAGAACGAAACTTTTGATTCCACCAGCGGCTGACAGCAGGCAGGTGAGATTGATGAGGTTCCTCTGTGCTTCATGCTGTGCTGAGCGGAGCAAAGGGGGCCAGCCAGGCCTCCCCACCCCACCCCTACATGCACCGTGGGGTCCCAATGGCTGATTAATAGAAACCGGGCCGTTTAGCAAAAGAGCGACAGACTCCAAAAATAACTATCCAGAGAGCACAAGCATAGCCAAGGGAGCGGGGGCAGGGAGAAGCCAAGAGCCCCATGACCGGCTGTTATTTACGTGCTAGCCTGGCGGATGCTAGGGATGCCGGAGAATTCCAGCTTAGTTCGTTTGCACACCTGCAAGTCCTGCAGACCAAGCTGCCCTTTCCGGGGGTTTGAACCAGCAACCTCCCCCATCATCGGCCCAGGCCTTTGATGATGGTTCTAGCATGATCGGGGGCCAAAATGGATTTAAACCAATCACCAGGTCCTCAAACACTGGAACTTTCAAAATGTGACACCCCCCCCCCCTCCAAAATCCAACCGATAACACGAAACACATTTTAACTCAGAGTTTCCTAAACTGGAAGGTACACCCACTGGGGGGGATGGGGGGGTTCACGACGGCTGAACCAGTGTTAATTTGATTGATTAAAACTACAATAAAATATTATTTGCCAAAAGAATTCACCATGACACAAAACTATGTTCTGACATTTCGTCTATTAATAAAATAAAAACAAGACAAAAATATCAGAAAGTTATGAATTTGAAACTGATCCAATCAGTGTCTTTAGTTAGTGTTGACTAGTTGCACATCACTGGATAATGTTGATCTAACCAACTTTAAGCATATAAACCATCTACCTGACCAGAAACCATGCAGTTTTACCTGTGAACTCTTGCCTGTAAACTGTTTTGCCATTATGACTGTCACAGTCGCCTATAGGTAGGGAAAACAATGACAAATGGATAAATTTCACATTTAATGCAAAAGAAAACAAGATTCAGTGCAAGCTGCATGGAGCGGCAGTGATGGCTAAATACAGCAAACAGCAAAGTGTCTTTCTGAAATGAATATAAATAAACAGTCGCTGATTTGTTTGAAGATTTTGGGTATAGAAATAAGCACAACCCAGCTGCTGTTCACTACTTTGATACTTTTTTATATTTTTGAGACAGGACACTTGAGTTTTCTGTAATCAGGTTCTATACAGTGGTATTTTTTTCTTATAATATGAATAAAGCCGTATAATGGTAGAGTGGTGGCTCTGAGGTTAGGGATCTGTGCTGGCAATCTGAAGGTTGTCGGTTCAAATCCCGTCAATTCCAGGAGTGATTCTACTCTTAATTAATATTAATTAAAAGCTCACATTTGCCCTTTATTAATATCTTGGAACCTATTTTTTTAAACCAAATTCCTAACATACTAATAGTGTGGCTTAAATGTTAAGCAAACAGCATGGCCGCAGCGATGGACTCGACACTCCATAAATCGAAGGAGGTGTGTTTACACTGACACTTTACGCAGTTTCAGGGAACACTGGGGCTCTCTCTGAAGCATATGCCAACTTGCTCCCATGCCCAGGAGAGCACAGCAGGCCATGGGCCTGTGTGAGTGGTGGGTGTGGCCTTGGATGCCAAGTCCCACCCACCACCAAGTCATCAAATGAGCATGAAACATTAAGAGGATTTCATGGTGCTTGTCATCATACATCCCCACCCCAGCCCACCTCCCCGATGGCCAGAGGAAAAATAATACACCAAAATAACTGGTGTGAATTATAGTACTTCGTTGGCATCTTAACAAAATAAACACCATTTACTGAGGCTTTCAGTACTCAGCAACTCTGCTGGACTCAGCTCTTTTGCTGGAGTGTACACTGTACAGGCAGACACATAACCTCTGTCACCCATCGCAGGTCATGCAGCACGTAGGAGGCATGATGGCAGGCAACACTGGCACCTTCAGACTTGCATACACTGCAATCCCATAATGCAATGCCTTAAGCAGGCTGAACAGAGAGAATCAGCTCCTCAAGACAGACTGAGTTGCCACATGTCCTGGACAAAAACCTTCCCCATCCCAATAAGGACCGACAAGCTAGAACAGCGCTGTGGCAGAATATTCTGCCTTAAATAACATAACACTTAAACTGAATCACAGGGAAGAATTCAGTTTTCAAACACACAGTGCACCTAAAGACCTTATGTAACCCCGCCCCGAAGCACATTTGGTGGAAATTACAACAAATGAAAACCAACACCTCATTTATGATGTTATTCCTGGTAACAAACCCCTGCTGTATGCCAGGGGCCAAGCCATCATCCCCCTAACTCCAACTGGGCTCACACACCTCTCCAGAGCCTACACACTCCACTTTAACAAAACCCAGATAGGGGTCAGCAGAAGGCTTGGATTTCCACAGCAAACACAGCTCGTCCATCACAGGGTAAGATCAGGGGGAACAGGGGTAGGAAGAAAAGAAGCTGATGGGGGGGGGGTACTTTGCCACAGTGTAATGCACTCGGCATACACCCATTCCAAGGTCCCTAAAAGTGCCGCCTTTGTGCATTCTGTGCTACTGATATTTGGAGAGCCATGAGCACATACATGGATGAATGAATGAATGAATGAAGGAAGACAAACATCCATTAATTTTCCTTAATCACTTACACAGTGTGGGGTCACACAGACATTATTTCATTTGAAACATTTTATTGAAGGTAGAATTCCAGACTGATTCCCTTCCCCAAAAGCTGCAGAAGAGTTGCATTGGCCCTTGAATTACCACACCAAAGCCACTCAGCAGCAGGCGGCACACTTCATGCCCTTCAGCTAATTCATCCTGCTGAGAGGGACCCCACGTCTTGGGACTAAGTGAGAGATAAAGACGAATGTCACAGGGTCAAAAGAACAGCAGTGTGAAAAAAATCATTAAGACCAATCTTTGGTAGGGTTCCGTAGTTCAGGATGTTATATATTTAGATTTTTACATCACTTTTTTCTAACCTCAACATTAAAATAATTAAGCCTAAATTTTAATAAGAAAACCAGTGCTCGGGCAAAAAAACTCTCATGAACATAACCAGTACAAGTAACAACAAGTAACATTCTGAGCTTCACTAAACACTCAAGCACAAGCACCAGGTTAACTGAACCTTCCCAAAGTCTACGCAATACTCTTAGCTACGAAACTTTACACCACTTATCTTTACCAATCTACGGCCACACGTGTCACGAGTCAGGGACGGAAACAAAAAAATTAAAGGAAGTCTCGGTGGATCACTAAAAGACGCGTTCGTCGTTTACTTGATAACATGCAAAGAATACTGTTAACGACTGACAACGTATTGAACAAAGTCACAACTCTGAACAGTGTTTGTGACTCCTGCGTCCAGCAAACGAACAAACAGTATTGTGCCATGTAGATCCCCAAAAATATTACTACTGTGTGCTAAAGATTTTATCGGGCGATTTGATTTGAGACCTTTCTCTCAAGGAGAAAGATGATTAACATGATTCATTACAATGTTAATCACAAACAATACGTAATACTGCATTTAGCAATCCATGGTTAACTAGAATATATCAGGTACAACAAGCTCATCTTACATTTAGTAATGCACAAGTACCTTTTACTTACAAACTAAATTCATTATAATTATAAATTTATTATAAATCGTATTTGACGTTTTAACTACTCCAAATAAAGATACTTGTGTATGCAGGCATACAGCTGCTCATATGAAAGGATCTGAAGGTATCGTTCTCCAGCAGCAAAAACTTTTTTTATCACAGAAAAGTGACCTGAAAATAAAATATCCATATTACCTTATTCAGTGTTTGAGCTGCAATGCTAATTGACCTTCTCATCACTTTCAATTGTTGAATTAGTCCAATGACACTTCTCATATTATTCAAACAGCGTAGCGCCATTTTGGTTTACAAAAAACGTCAGGGCGTTACGTAACTACGGATCCTCAGTAGGACAATTTACTCGTGGACTTTAAAATTAGGTGGTTCCTATTAGCATAATAGTAGGTACCGCTGCTGAATGACATCACAACGCAAGGCGCGGTATTTTGCACTGAATTCGAAAAATGTCTAATATATTATAGGGCTGGATGATGTGCGATAATAATACCAGCGTCACATGTGATGCACATGTAGTTCTTACATCGCTAGTCAGCTAAACATCAGGCTTTTTCGTACTTTCAGTTCTGTACGAACCAGGTAGTTTACGTTTCGCTAAAACATTTTTACTGTCATAAGGAAAAAATTGAAAGTTTTGCAGTTGTAATGGTTATGTCTTTCCAAGATTATCTCGTAGCTGTATGGTTAAAAATCAGTTTAAAGTTTTTGTATGAGCGCCTCATGCGTTCTCTGAAACAATCATTTGGTATATATTTATTACAACAAAATTACATAGCTTGTCCACAGTAATTTAAGCTTGGATCTTTCATTTGTCCACGCATCCATTATTATCACTTTTTTAATTTACTTCGTTTATCGTTGTTTCCTGGTTTAAAAAAAACACGTCGAATGTATTGTGTTGCAGAGGCAGGCTATACATAACCAAAGTAATAAAAAGTACCCCAGTTGGTTTGGCACTTTAAATACTGTAACCACAAGGGTACTGGTACTCGACCGGAAGTCAATGAAAATGGGAAAATACCGAAAGTACCAAAAGTTTAGTACTTCGCTCTATGTCTTTGCGGGGACTCTCCATTCATTTCTATGGGCATAACCCTAATCCCAACCATGACAACCTTGACCCATAACCAATTCTAACCATAAGTAACCAAAAAAAAAAAATACTTTTACTTTTTAGATTTGCAGATTTTTTATAAAATTGAGTTTCCCCTTGTGGGGACTGAAAAAATGTCCCCCCACTGTCAAAATAGCAGATTGGCATCACATTGTGGTAACTTCAGTTCACCTCAGCATGATTTTAGATTTTGGTGGGGAAACATGGAGGAAACCCCACAATGAGAACATACAAACTCCACACACATGGAGCCATGACAGAAACTCAAATTCCAGTCCAAAAGGTGCAAAGCAACAGTGCGCAACCCCAATACTAGGTGTTCTGATAGCTTCAATCTTATTAATACAAGTAAAATATTGTAGAATATTTTACTTAATACAAGTAAAATATTTTAGGAAAAAATAACATTGAACTGATCTTTTTAAAATCTTATATATTCATAAATCCTGTGGGCTTCTGGGTTTTCTTTTGCATTTTTCTGGTTAAGTACGCAGTGCGTATGTCAGCAAATTAGGGAGTGATGTTTTGAGATATTTGTGCTTGATGACTGAGGTGGTGGTCCCAATCTTTAAGAACTGGAACCTGCAGTAAGTCGGACTCGTTCCCGGTGGGTGCCTTAGGATCTCATCTTTACTTGTAGATGATGTGGTCCTGTTGGTGTCGTCGGCTGGTGACCTGCAGCATGTCCTGGGGCCATTTGTAGCTGAGTGTGAGGCAGCCGGGATGAGGGTCAGCACCTTTAAGTCTGAAGTCATGGTTAACAACCAGAAAAGGGTGGATTGCCCGCTCCAGGAGGGGGATGAGTTACTGCCCAAAGTGGAGGAGTTGAAGTATTTCGGAGTTTTGTTCACGAGTGAGAGAAGAAGGGAGCGGGAGATCGACAGACTGATTGGTGCAGCATTGGCAGTAATGCAGATGTTGTGGCAAAGAGGGAGCTGAGCTGGAAGGTGAAGTTCTCGATTTACCAGTTGATCTATGTTCCTACCCTCACCTATGGTCATGAACTAATGAGTAATGACTGAAAGAATGAGATCGCGGATATAAGCAGCCAAAATGAGTTTCCTCCATGGGGTGTCGAGCTCAGCCTTAGAGATGGGGTGAGGAGCTCAGACATTCGGGAGGTGCTCAAAGTAGAGCCTCTAGTGCCTACAGCACTAGATATTCCCCAACAGTTTCCCATCCAAGTACTAACCAAGCCTAAATCTGCTTAGCTTCTGAGATCAGACAAGTGTGAGACCATCCAGGACAGTGTGGAGCAATTGTGGACCTTGCAAAGTACCCCTACTAAGTTTTGAGATATTTGCGTATCATGAGAAGAGAATGACCACCTTTAAGGAAAATCAAACATTTGTAATGGATACTTAAATGGTAATCACTACCAAAGGGGTAACTTTTGATATCCAAACTGAGTTATCGATCTGCTCATGCCTAATTATGGAGTCTCTGAAGCCGCAGACAAGGTACAGACCATGTCCTTGGAGGTCAGAGCCTTTTATTTTATCCCTCTAACCCAACATCTGCTGGTAATATCTTACTCTTCCATCTGGAGGCATTTGCAGAAATATCATTCCATATTCATTCTTATTTCCCGGGGCTGTAGGCTTTGCATTGAAATGAGAGCCTCCTGCGCAGGTTTCCCCTGCCGCTGCCACTGCCGGCCTCGCACTGTCGTTGCCGTCTCTATATCCGCGGGTCTCTTGCACAGATTCGCACTTCCTGCTCTCCACTTCCTGGCCACCCACTTATGGGTCCCTCAGCGCCTCTGTCAGCACCCCCTACCCCACCCAGCAGACCTCTTCTGCATCAGTTGGCGTGCCTAATAAACTCCTTATGTTACACATCGCTCTCTTCCTCCCTCCCTTCTCTGCCATCAGAGTCCCGCTCCCCTTTGCTTCAGGTTACAATCGTCAGGCTTTGCACGGCTTGTCAGTAACAGGGGGCCCAATGCGCCTTGCCTTTGTCAAAGAAGCCACACATAGGGAGGAAACTGGAGTCTTATAAACAAATTACAATTTAAAACTACACCTGGAGGTGTGAGAAAAATGTTATAATGACATTCTTGGTATACTTTATACGTGGACTGTCAGTTTTTTGTACTCATTTTTTCCTAGAGAAGCAGGTTGCAGAAAGCTGACCAAAGTGCACAAATGACTTTTGGTAAATTTGCATTAAAATTCTTAGGAAAGTATATATTTTTTTCCAAATGATAGGTGTTGTGTTTGTAGAATTCCAACCGGTATTTATCTCGTCTGTGATGTTGCATACTGCAGGTCGAAACACTAAGGGACCTAAAAGCTAAGGGTGTTAAAGGCTGTTGGCACTGAAATTCATACTGGTACCCTGATGCATGGGCACACACACACAGGAAATACAGCAAGCACTGGGGCCCAACTCTATCTGTCTCTGTTTTCACAGAATAACACTATGCTTCAGCCAGACATACTGTCTGTGCATTTTGGGAGTCAAGGAAGTGCTGTCTCGTATTGCAAAGGCAAGGTTTTTTGGAGCATTTGAATAATGTGATAATCACTATGTCACATTACAAGGGACAAAGGACTTAAGGGCAGGCATCTCGATGAAACAAAATGGGCTTTTATTAAGCTGAAACTAAACAGACACTGGAAATAAAGTGGACTGCGAGGGATCTAAACAAGAGGACTACAATGAGGAAGAACATGGGCTGACAGGAGGAGCAACATTAATGACCAGACTAGCAAGGATGAGACCAACAGAATACATAGACTAACGCAGAGCAATAAGCATCAGGTGTGGCCCATCAGGGGGGTCAGGCAGACATGACGGGCAGGATGTGACACATTGCATATGCTTCCCATCTCCCCCCACAAGCATAAGCTGTCACCACTGTGAAAGCCTTCACGTCAATCCCCCATGTGGGGCATGTTTTGCCTTTGCACCCCTGTGCTGACTCTACATGCTAGGGGCAAAGCTTAGTGAACCCCCCACCTTCGCTGCTCGGGTGGAAGTGGCTAAGCGTTCCTCCCCCAGCTGTAATAATAGGCACACCCTGGGTGGCAGACGCATACTGCTTTGTTGGGCTGAGGGGGGCTGTTTCCACCTGATGAAAGATGGGCCTTCCGATCAACTGCATTGTCTGATTGACATGACAAGTCACGGCACCCAAAGACATATCCAAACAGAATAAGGTAGCAGAGCTCTGGTTTCATCTGTGTGGCACCTACAGTTCAGGTTTGTTAGTATTTGCGTAATTTTTTAAGTGACCCTTCAGTAACAGTAATAAACAATGCAGGAGACCCAATTCACATGATGTTCACTCACATATTAATGGATCGCTCTATCACACACCATCAGATAACCTCCCAGTATAATAGCTAGCTATCATTTGCAAAATGGTCACTTTGTATCACCTATGCAGGTAATACACACAGGTGACAGGGGTATGCCCCAAAAGGGTGTCTAGGATTTTGGAACCAGACAGTTCAGAGTGCTAATTTTTTTGCATTTTACACTCTCCACCAAAAGCAGTGATTTAGCAGTTTGATTTTATATATAAATACACCTACATGTTTTGAAGTAATTCATGTCATGTAACTTCTGATGGGGACACTTACTGCCCTGTCTTTTGGTTGCAGTTTCCATCTAACCATCCATCCTCCAGCCGCTTATTCAGGTACTGGGCTGCAGTAAGTACAGTTTCCTTCGATACAAAATGGAGAACAGATATAAAAACAAGAAAGTCACTAACAATATTAATCTGGGATATGAAATGTGTTCCTTATCCTGCCCCTTTTATTACACGCCAGGGACTCTAAGCTATAATCCATGACAACATATACTGCAGTTCTGATCCTTTTTGAATGCAGTGTCATAATCTGAATGATTTTCCATATAAAATATATTTGTTCGCTTTTGTTCACACTCAGCATGTAGCACCTAGTGGCTGCCAAGCAGAAGGCCCCCACACTAACAGGGTTAAATTAAGTTTGGTTTAGACAAGGAATAATAAAGGAGCCATGGCCTGAGTTTATGAGGCAAGCCTGCCTCCTATTGGTATGGCTAGGAAATAATAATAATTTACACTTTATTAATCCCCGTGGGGAAATTCTTTTTTACGCCTCCCTCAACTTGCTCTTTGTAGAGCAATCTGTCCGCGAAGGGCAGCCACCTGTAGCGGCGCCCAGGGAGCTGGGGGTTGAGGGTCTTGCTCAAGGACCCGCAGACGTGCTGAGGCTCGGCT